CAAAAAGCGAGAAGCACATTTATCAAATAAGCAGGCTAGTCAACGTAGTCATAACTGTTGAGAGCCAACATCAAAAGGCTACAGTTGGTCAGTGTTATAGATGTCAACGTTTTGGTCACGCCCAAAGTCGATGTACAGCTCAGCCACGATGCGTATACTGTGCTGGTAAACATCATACCTATGAATGTGAGAAAAAAGAAGTTGAGGCTCGAAAATGCTGCAACTGCGGCGAAGAGCACACAGCATCCTACAAAGGCTGTAAATTATGGCCAAAAATTAAAAATCATAACTCTAATAAGACAAGGCAAACTACTTCCTATGCAGAAGTAGCAAAATCCTCAACATCCCCAACCATCAGTGAACCAAAAATTCAAGAGGAAATGACACTTACGCAACTATTCACCAAATTTAACAACATGTACAGTCAAATGCAAGAACTTGCATTGCAATTAGGAAAAATGTTTCAAGGTACACAAAGTAAATAAATACACAAATTTGAAAAATGGCTCACCAGACTCATCTCAAAGTTTGTTATTGGAATGCAAACAGTGTATTAAATAAAAAACAGGAATTAATGAACTTCCTGTCAGATGAAAATATTGACGTCATGATGATTGGCGAAACATGGCTAAAAAATGGTAACACATTTAACATACCCAACTATATCATCTACAGGAACGATCGAGTACAACAACCAGGCGGAGGTACTGCAATATTAATCAAAAAACACATCTCTCACACATCTAGAGAAACTAAGAAATCTCAAATTGAAAATACGACTATCGAAATTAACACAACTACAGGATCTGTCTTTCTTATCTCAGCCTACTGCCCTCCAAAGAAAAATATCACAGATGAAGACCTACAACTTTTCTTCCAACCAGATGACAAAATTTTATTACTCGGAGACCTGAATGCGAAACATCGAATTTGGGACTGTAACAGCACAAACAACTCCGGAAAAACACTTTTAAATTATTTTGAAAATAATGATATTCAACTTCATATTCCATCACATCCAACCCATTACAGTGCTATTGGGTCTCCTGAAATTCTTGACATTGCAATTTCAAAAAACATTTATGGAGATCTTGATCTAACAGTTATCCAGGACTTAAGCTCAGATCACAACCCTATCTTTGTCACTCTACCCATCATCCCACAGGACAAACCGCTTATGACAAAAACAATCATCCAATGGGATCGTTTTACATATTATCTTAAAAATAATATGGAAAATATTACCCAACTTTCAACTCCTCAACAAATTGAAGATGAAATAATGAAATTGACTAATGAAATTATACAAGCTGAAAAAGCTTGCACTAAAGTAATTACAGCCAACACAAACAACATAATCATCCTTCCTACGGAAATCAGAGAACTTATAAAATTGAAACGTAAAGCTCGCAAAAAGGCACAAAGAACAGGCCATCCAAATGATACAAATAAAGCTACAAAACTAAACAACACACTCCGATTAAAACTAAGAGATTTTCACAGTAGCCTCTGGAATGAAAAGCTCCAAATTCTCAACACAGATCGTGACGGTCTTTGGAAACTTATTAAATCCTTAAAAACAAAGCACCAATCAGTTCCGCCACTCCAAGGAAGACGAGGTATAGGATATTCTGACTCTGAAAAGGCAGAAATACTTGCAGAAAGTATTGAAAAACAGTGCCAACTAAATGAACTACCAGAGGATGAAAATCTAGAAGCCGAAGTCAACGAAGCTGTGCAACAAATTGACGAATCACAACCTGAACCAATAAAACACGCCACGTTAGAAGAAGTAAATAACATTATAAAAAACCTTAAGAACAAGAAATCCCCAGGAGGTGATAGCATAAGAAATCTTGCGATAAAACGCATGCCACAAAAAGCTAAGGTTAAAATGCTAAACATTTTCAACGCCTGCCTAAGACAGAACTATTTTCCTTCCCAATGGAAGGAGGCTCACATTATTACGATCCCAAAACCAGGAAAAGATCACAAACTACCACAAAACCATCGTCCAATCAGCCTTCTATCTACTTTCTCAAAGATACTAGAACGGCTGATACTCTCGAGACTACTTGAACAAATAGATGATTTGCAACTAATCCCACCTGAACAATTTGGTTTTCGGAAAGCACACTCAACAAACTTGCAGACACTCCGCCTCACGGAACTTATCCATAAGGGGTTCTATCTTAAACAAAGCACTGCTGTAGCATACCTAGATGTGGCCAAAGCTTTTGATAAAGTTTGGCATGAAGGAATTATTTTCAAAATGAAAAAAGCAAACGTCTCCACAAATATCATTAAAATAATACGCTCATTCCTGCTGGAGAGAAGTTTTAAGGTTAAACTTGGCAGCAGCATTTCATCCAGAAAACCTATAGAATCTGGAGTTCCGCAAGGTTCTGTTCTTGGACCCGTACTTTACAACATATATACGCATGATTTCCCTCAAGAAAATGAAATTTATTCTCATACAGCTCTATTTGCGGATGACACTGCCGTAATATCACAATCTCGCAGCCCCAAGTTAGCCATTGAGAAACTGCAACAGAACTTAAACAACTTTATCAACTGGTTTACCAAATGGAAAATTGCCATTAACAAAGACAAAACACAAACTGTTTTATACACTAACCGAATCAAACTACCTCCTGACAAAATAGAAGTAATAGACAGTGAAATTTCTTGGGAAAATTCTGCAAAATACCTGGGACTACACATAGACAAAAGACTCATCTGGAATCATCATACATCAGAAATGAAGAAAATTGGCTTCATTGCACTACAAAAGCTAGGTCCTCTTCTCAGAAATCCTCACCTTAGTATAAATCATAAAAGAATGATTTATCTATCAGTCATTCGACCAGCCTACACCCACAATATTGGTACTTGGATTTCTGCGACTAAAACTCACATTAACAAACTACAAGTCATTCAAAATAAAATACTCAGAACCATAACTGGAGCACCCTGGTTTGTAACAAATATACAATTACATAAAGACCTCAACTTACCAAGCATTCACAAATTTGGAAAAGAAATAGCGATCAAGTTATTTCAAAAAGCTGAGCAACATGACAATAAATACATCCGAGAATCCGTCAATTACAACCCTGAAGACTGCCTTCCAAAAAGTCGGCGTCCACGAATGGTAGAATTACTAGACGTGGACCTTTATTAAATTTTTCTAATTACTAAGTCAATTCTTATGAAATAACAACTATATACATTATTAGACCTCAAAGGTATAGATTACAAAATGCAATCACCTAGAAAATCTATTAGAGATCACAGACAGACAGAAAATTTTCATTTCTGACTTGCCAGTTACACTGAGAGGATTAGAATAGTTATTCAACTTTTCTTTAAATATTCAACAAATATATTTCGTTTATTCGAAATGGCAGATAAAGTAGAATCTCCAGCTGTACCTGCAGTTGCAACCCCTAAGAAGGCGGCAACTCCTAAGGCGAAGCAACCTCGCACAAAAGCGGCTCACCCACCAGCATCTGAAATGGTAGTTGCAGCTATCACAGCTTTGAAGGAAAAAGGCGGTTCTTCTCTACAAGCCATCAAGAAGTACATTGCTGGTACTTATGCAGTTGATGTTGAGAAGCAAGCGACTTTTATCAGGAAGTATCTTAAAGCTGCTGTTGCCAACAAGACGCTTATTCAAACCAAGGGAAAAGGTGCTGCAGGATCCTTCAAATTGAATGTCGCCAAAGCTGAGGCCAAGGCAAAAACGAAGGCTGCTACAGCTAAACCCAAAGCTGCTGCATCCAAGGCTAAGAAAGTAGCATCTCCGAAAAAGGCTGTAGCTGCCAAGGCTAAGAAAGCTGTTGCCGAGAAGAAAAAGACTCCTAAGGTTGCAGCCAAACCACCAAAGGCCAAGTCTACCACTGCCAAGCCTAAGGTGACAAAGGCTTCTCCCAAGAAAGCAAAGGCACCTGTTGCCGCAAAGAAAGCTGCACCAAAACCCAAAAAGACAGTGGCAAAGAAGGTTGCAAAAAAATAAGGAGGGAATGTTATATAACAGTAACATTTTCACAACTCATCGATAACAAACGGCCCTTTTCAGGGCCACAAAATATTTTTTACGTAATGGTTTGTTTTGTTCTTTCAACAAATATTTTATTAAAATACAAATAAATTGCTAAATTACACTAAGTATTATTTTATCATACAATTGAATCAAAATAAAAATTTATTCAGAACTTTAGAGACAACATTAATTTTTCTCCTATTATTTTTGATGAAACATGTTTTTGTTAATATTTTTTGTAGTAAATTTATTTATTTTTTCGAGTCAATATGTCAGATAAATGCTGTAATTTACAAGTACATATTAAATTAATGTAACTGCACTCAAAAAATTATAATAGATTTGACTACAATTAAGTACTCTGCCTAGTACAATAGGTCCTCAACTCAATTTAAAAAGTAGAATTCACTATAAGAAAGTAGTTACAATAACTAAGAATATAGTTGATAGAATGATGTTTTGCAGTTGTTTTAGTATTTTTGTAGTTGATCCAACTACAATTTTTAGTAAATTGATCAGCTAATCATTAACTCCATAAAATATATTTAGACATCAAATATCCAATTACAACATTTTAAAAAAGATTACGCCTCCAAATTTTATATTTTCATAAAACGTCCATTAATTTAAAGAAATTTTAATAAACTTTATTTACCAGTGAACGACTTCTACAAAATACAAATGATAATTTAGTTATAATTTATCTAACAGATCATAAACAATATCAAAATATTTGTAAACTAGAAGTAAAATGCTTCAAATTTATCTCAATAAATTATTTTTTATAATGTTAAACCAAAATAATTTCAACGTAAAAAAATGTGTTGGCCCTGAAAAGGGCCGATTGTATTTTTGAAGGTTGTTGTAAAAAATTTAAGCACGTTCTCCTCGGATACGACGAGCCAATTGGATGTCTTTTGGCATGATGGTGACTCTCTTGGCGTGGATGGCGCACAAGTTGGTGTCTTCGAAGAGACCGACGAGGTAAGCCTCGCTAGCCTCCTGGAGAGCCATCACAGCAGAGCTCTGGAAACGCAAGTCGGTCTTGAAATCTTGAGCGATCTCACGGACCAAACGTTGGAAAGGAAGCTTGCGGATGAGGAGCTCAGTGCTCTTCTGATAACGACGGATCTCACGGAGAGCGACGGTTCCTGGCCTGTAACGATGGGGTTTTTTCACTCCACCAGTTGCAGGCGCGCTCTTTCTGGCGGCCTTGGTGGCGAGTTGTTTCCTTGGTGCCTTACCACCGGTGGATTTACGAGCGGTTTGCTTGGTACGTGCCATGACGATGCTGCAAGTTCGGAGACTAACAAAACAATGATGTACGGCGGGGAAAATGCTGTATTTATGGACTTTCGACCCTTCTGTTCAATAAGCAGCTAAAGGGAGGGGAAACTAGCAACACGATTGGTAGATTGAAATTGTGGTGGGAGAAGTGTGCCACACGATGTTATAAAATAATGCTCACTTCCCTCGAAAAGCATTTCGCATCTTTGCACTTTACTCTTCACCCAATCAAAGCGATATATCCAATCTCCCGGACTTTTTTCTCTCCGATTCTCCCACAATTATCGCAGGTGACCTCAATGCTACAAATACAGCTTGGGGATGCCTCCGAAATAATAAAAAAGGAAACACTCTATTAAGAGCCTCACTGCGACATAATTTCAATATCGAAGTCCCTTCAGAACCAACTTACCACCCTTCTTGTCCCCGTTACCAACCCAGCATCTTAGACCTCTTTTTGACCAAAAACATCATTCTGGACAAAGATCCCTGGACACTTCCTGAACTCAGTTCCGACCACTCACCAGTTTACCTTGAAATAACAGGGAACCCATCTCTCTCTCCTCCTATAGAATCAAAAATCGACTATACCCATTTGAAATACATCCTAGAAACTTCCTCTTTTAAATGCCCTTCGATTAAATCCAAGACTGACTTAGACACTGCAATTGACTCTCTAACTACAGAAATTCAAACTTCAGTCAAACTTGCCACAACAAATATAACTAAACCATCACAAAGAGACAGATCATCACCCTACATTCTTCGTCTCATCAAAAAGAAAAATAAAGCTCGAAAAAAATGGCAAAAATTTCGCCTCTCATACCACAAACGCCTCCTCAACTCATTACAAAGAGAACTAAAAGCCTCCCTAAACTGCTCTATCAAATCTTCCTTCGAATCATTCATAGCTGAAGCCGAACAACACCCCAAAAGCTGTTGGAAAGTTATCAGATCTCTTCGAAACAGGAAAACTCACCTTCCACCACTCAGCAAGGATGGCAATACCTTCTCTCTTGATGAAGATAAAGCCAACATTTTTGCTGAATCCCTTAAAAATCAATGCTCCCCCTTTCCAAGCCTCAAAAAATTCACCTCTTTTCATAAAAAAGTCTCAAACATAGTCTCCAACTTCACAAGCCTCGACAACAACTTCCCTCCCACCTCTCCCAAAGAAGTTTTTAATTCAATTCGCCTTCTCAAAAACCGTAAAGCCCCGGGCAATGATAACATCAACAACAAAATACTAAAGATTCTCCCTCGCAAACACCTAGTCGCCATCAGCAACATAATAAATGCCATGATGCGTCTTCAATACTTTCCTCTTGCTTGGAAATCTGCTATTGTCATATTTCTACCAAAGCCAGGAAAATCTCTCAGTGACCCCGCAAACCATCGTCCAATCAGCCTTCTATGCACATTAAGTAAAGTAGCAGAATCCATAATTCTTTTTCGCCTCGACAAATTTATCTCACAAAACAATATCCTTCCTGACTTTCAACACGGTTTTCGCAAAAGCCATGGCTCAGCCCATCAACTCCTACGCGTTTCTGAATTCATCGCTGACAACCTCAATAAAAGCAAACATACCTCCATGCTCCTACTAGATTGCAAACAAGCGTTCGACAGAGTTTGGCACGACGGACTCATCTTTAAACTCATCAAGCTCAACTTTCCACATTACCTCATCGGTCTAGTAAAATCCTTTCTCACCGACAGAACCATCAGCGCCCGTGTAGGCAAATCTCTCTCAAACACTCACTCAATCACCTCTGGAGTTCCTCAAGGGTCCAAACTCTCACCTACACTCTTCAATCTATATTGCTACGACATCCCCACAGATGATAAAATACTTACTGTCCAATATGCCGATGATATTGGCTTCCTAGAAACATCCAAAGTCATCCAACATTGCACCTCTCACCTAAACAAATTTATTCCAACTGTTTTGGATTGGTATTGGAAATGGCGATTCGACATTAACAACACCAAATCTGAAGCAGTCTTCTTCTCTCGCCGTATGCGCTCCCCTCCAAATCCTATAGTAAAATCTCTCCCAATTAAATGGAGCTCCTCTGCCAAATACCTTGGTGTCATCTTCGACAAGAGATTTACCTGGTCCAAACACATAACCTCAGTTCGCAGTAAAGCCAATGGCGCCTTCATATCGCTAAAACCTTTCTTTAGCAACCCTCACGTCTCCCAGTCCACAAAAATCCGCGCCTTCAACGCTATCATCCGTAGCATATGTACCTACGCAATCCCCATCTGGGGCTCTGCCACCCCACAACAGTTAACACGATTACAAAAGACATACATGCGCCTCCTGCGCTCTGCCTTAAACTTCCCCTGGTTTATCCGAAATCAACAAATCCTGAAAGAAACAAACCTCCCATCCATTTTTACTGCCGCCCAAACATACTCCAAAAACCTTCGTCTCTCCATAGAAAACCACTCAAACCCAACTATCAACTCGCTCGTTCACTACAAGAGCAAGACCACAGACCGCTTCAGAAGGCCTTGCCTTCTCATCTCTCCACATTCTTCTTAAATTCACAATATTCGTGCTTCGCTATATGCGTCAACGCCCATGTAGCCTCAACTACATCGGGTATCCTCCTTCTTCTTTGGTTTATAACCTTTGGTTGATAACCACTGAGATGAGTTTTTAGTCGGTATGCACATCAAGTGAATCCGGCATTACCCAATTCCACCGGGTGTCTTTAGAAGATTTTCTCATCTCTCCCCACTTCCAAAAAAAAAAAAAAAAAAAAATCGAAAAGCATTCTCAGTTTGTTCTTCGTTTGAGTTTGACGTACGAACTTTATTATCTGCAAAAATGACTGGTCGCGGAAAGGGAGGTAAAGGTTTGGGAAAAGGAGGAGCAAAGCGGCATCGCAAGGTTTTGCGTGATAACATCCAAGGTATCACCAAGCCAGCCATCCGTCGTTTGGCTCGTCGTGGTGGAGTGAAACGTATCTCCGGATTGATCTACGAGGAAACTCGTGGTGTTCTCAAAGTGTTCCTTGAGAACGTGATCCGTGACGCCGTCACTTACACCGAGCACGCCAAGAGGAAGACCGTCACCGCCATGGACGTCGTCTATGCTTTGAAACGTCAAGGCCGCACTCTTTATGGTTTCGGCGGTTAAATATACACGTCATCATCATCATCTGCATACAATCGGCCCTTTTCAGGGCCACTAAATTTTTTTACGTTGAAATTCTTTTTTTTAAAACATATTGTCAAGATATAAAGATAGTTTTGTGTTGATAATTGATTTTATTAGTGGACGTTAGTTAGGCAAGACAATTTAAATTTGATCTGTAAAGGTAAAAAACTATTCAATAAAATTGAAAAGTATATGTAGTTTACATTCTTGTTCATTGTATCTGAAGACATTGATTTTTTCGGGTCTACATGGAGTTTGGTTTTTGGTCGTTCTTCTTCACATCTATGATGACACTAATTGTAATCTACTAGGCAGTAAGTGTAGAGGCAACACGTCAATATCTCCAATTACGATATATATCAATGTACTACATTTTAATATTAAAGTTTGTTAAGAATTTGTTTAATAATTAATTTTACTGTCTCTATATTTTATTCTTCTTAAAATGAAACTATCGAGATATTCGTAAAAACCATGACCACTTTTAAAGAATTCAAGTTGAAATCGAAACCTTTAAAGATCATAAAAATCTACTTGAGAAGATTGTAAATTTTTTCTCTATAGAACACTACTGCCCTACAACGAAAGAAAACACATAAGCCACATTGTCGCTTCAGTCGCTCTTCTGCAGTGTTTATATACAGAACTCGACCAAAGCGACAATGTGGCTTATGTGTGTTCTTCCGTTGTAGGGCAGACTGAACATGTGTTGACCAGACGTGACACGGTACCGAAAATATATAGAAAAGTCACTGAGTATGCAAATAATGAACGTCATATTCTGTTTTGTGTATAACAATCCATAACTAAAATACATGAGTATTACTTCTTTCTCACGTTTTTTGGGGTTTTTCCAAAACAAGGATACTCAAGCATAAACTGCATATATTGTTGTCATAAAACACAGAAAAGTATTTTTGCCCTGCAACATAAAAAAAGGTTACTGACTTTGACTTTGAAAACCATATTTATTTATCATTGAGAGTTGTACATTAAAGTTATACAAAAAATTTCTTAATTCTAAGATATATATTCAGCGCCTGTTATTTTAAGTAACTTATCTGAATGTTTTTTATTTTATTAAAGTTTATATATTTAATAATATTTATATATTCTTTGTTTGGGTAAAAAGGTAGAATAATTCAAAAACCCCATTTGAAAACTAAAAAAGGTTACTCGTTCTCGAATATACCTATACAGTACCTGAAATCCTTGATAAAAATAGCTTTTCACCGCGAGACAATTATTAAAGTAATTTATAGTTAGCAATTTAGCACAAAATGTATTATATTTTAAAATATAATGATGGAAAAAATAAATAAACTGCTTATATTGGCTTAAAATGTTAAAGATAAAATTAATTCCTTCGTAAAAAAATTTGTTGGCCCTGAAAAGGGCCGATTGTTTTCGGAGAGATCAAGATTGATTTACTTGGAGCTGGTGTACTTGGTGACAGCCTTGGTGCCTTCAGAGACGGCGTGTTTGGCAAGTTCACCAGGAAGGAGAAGCCTGACAGCGGTTTGGATTTCCCGGGAGGTGATGGTGGACCTCTTGTTGTAGTGGGCCAAGCGGGAAGATTCGGCAGCGATACGTTCAAAGATGTCGTTGACGAAGCTGTTCATGATGCTCATGGCCTTGCTGGAGACTCCAGTGTCGGGATGAACTTGTTTCAACACCTTGTAGATGTAGATGGCATAGCTTTCCTTCCTCTTGCGCTTCTTTTTCTTGTCAGTCTTGGTGATATTTTTTTGAGCCTTGCCGGCTTTTTTCACAGCTTTTCCACTTGCTTTAGGAGGCATTTTGGATATTCAGAGACAAACACGTGTAAACTCAATGAGAATACGGAGTGAATTGATGCTCGGCC